CCCTAACCCTAACCCTAAATGGAACCTAACCCTAACCCTAACCCTAACCCTAACCCTAACCCTAACCCTAACCCTAACCCTAACCCTAACCCTAACCCTAACCCTAACCCTAACCCTAACCCTAACCCTAACCCTAACCCTAACCCTAACCCTAACTCTAGCTGATGCCTCGTCAACCCTAGCTGATGCCTCATCAACCCTAGCCCCACTCCATTTCTCCCCACCGATCACCACTCACTCCACTTGCCACTCACTGCCCTCTTGCCACCCCTTCGCATCCCATCCATGACCCATATCCACATTCGCACCCACCTCACCATACTCATCCACCACCCCACTATGCGCATGGCTGTGCACGGGCGTCAATTGAGTCTTTGATGGTGATTTACAATCTCGATCCCCCCATTGACACTTGCCCGTGTCACTCGTTCGGCCGAGGCGCATGTGCGGGTTGGTGTGTGACATGAATGTTATTCAACAATTACATGATTCGCCACTTGTCACTCGTTCGATTGGTTTGATGTTCAATTGATTGTCATTGATTATTGTTTTTTGATCATTCCATTCTTTCTGTTTCTCTTGTTGGTGGCTATCCATGTTCCTTGTTCTTTGCCGTTCATGTTTCCACATGCTTTGTTGTTGCTATTGTTTGCTTTCATGTTCTGCTTTGGTCGCTGTTGCTTTCGATGCTTGACCACAATTGACATGCATCACCATTCATCATTCCTTTCGCTCGTGTTGTTGCTTTGTATCATTATTCGTCGTGCTTCAATTGTTCTTGATTCTCCTGTTTTCTTCGATTTTGACTTCCACATCCACCATCGGGCCTTGCTCACTACACTATCGATTCTCAACTTTGGTGTAGTTGGGCATGATCGATAGTTGTGCATGCAATGTATTTTGTGTTGACCTTGTTGTGTCGTGGTCATGGTTGATCTGCAGATCTGATCGATCAACCGCGCCCTGCCTCAACGACCTCAACGTCACCCGAGTCCATCCTATTGCCTGACAGCTTTACTCAGTCCCTCTTGACTTTCTCATGTGTGTGCTGTGAATGTCATGTTTGACCTCTGGCTGTTGTTGTGGACGTCATTGCCTCGTTTGATGCTGGTTCCGGCTTTTCTTCAATTAATTCAACGTTCAACTCAATTAACGTCCGCCGCCTTCCCTCTGCCGGCCAAGTACCCGCCGCCCCTATCGCCCACACCCCACACACACCCATCAGCCGTATCATAATCACCTTCATTAATGCTCAAGCCCAATCGCCATACCCACCACCCCTTCGCCCGTCCCGTCACCCACGTCACGACCCCCCTCATCCCCCCCTACCATACTCATTACCACCCGTCACCACAAACCACGACCCTCACCTCCTACTCCACCAATATAACAATCATTCCAGCCACAAGCCCACCCACATGCCTTGGGCATCCTTACCACCATCCCATCGCGCACCCCGCTTCCTCTTCCTCCTCCTCCTCCTCCTCTCCTCGCTCTACCTCACCCCCATCCTCTCCCCCGACCTTGACACCCACAACCCTCAACCATCATATGCCATACTGCTTATCCACCAACCAACAGCAATCTCGATCCACCCAGCCTCGACCCAGCCCCCTTTGCCGCCCCCGCCTCGCCGACCATCAGCCGCCAGCCGCCGCCCGCTCGCCCGATCAGGCCCACCTTCATCACCACCTAGCTCATTCCCACTACCAGCTACACAACCCGCGACCACACCCAAGGTCATCATACATCTCACACTATCACCAGTACCAATATCGCTGTCATCGATACCCATCGACCTCGGCTCATTTCCGCGTCGGCTTGTTTTGCCTAGGCGGTTGAGCAAGCCCTCGACCGCCCGACCCCGCACACGACCCCACCAACCTCATTGCAAGATATGGCCAATCTTATTTCACTACCACTCTACTATATACACACACTACCCCCTTGTACAGTCTCCAATCCACAGCTGCAGTATTCCAGAATCCGAGTTCTGCCACCTGAGGCCCAAGTTGTTGGCCCCTCGATGCTGCTGACCCCCCGCGGCGGGCTGGCGCTGCTGCTGTGGCCGAGGCCGAGGCTTGGTGCGAGTCGTCGAGTGACGGCCAGCCATTGCTCGGTCAGCCGACGACGACGGTGACGAATGTGCCGCCGCGCGTTATCGGCACGGGATCAGAGCCATCATTTGAGCTGGTGGAAGTAGTTGGCTCGGCCTTGTGCACCGACGACAACCGACCACTGCTCTGCTCAAGGCGTGGGAGGCGGATTATGGGAAGGCAGAGAGGGCGAGGATGCTTTCCTCTCTGCCTGTGTCAACCCTTTACGGTGCTCTCACTCGCTTGCCGGCCAGGGCATTTGCGAGAGCCACGCAGCCACAATCATCGACGACAGATCGTCGAGCCCCTGCCGCGCGACAAGGTCGATCGTCTGGGCGCCGGCGACCCGGAAACGCAGGTGTGCGCTGCTAAAGTCGCTGGCCATTTCCAGAAACGCTTCGCCAAACGTTCGCGACGTCGCCGACGGCATGGCCTCGAACGTCATCTTGACTACCTGCTGCGGCGCGGAGACCGGCCCGGGTCCAGCCTCGCCGGCCTGCGCTCCACCGATGACCACCCAATGGTAGATGAGGCCCTTGTCGGTGACATGTGCTGGTGCGTCCGTCCGCTTGATCTCCACCAGAGTGGCCACCGGCGACTCGAACACATACAGTGTCTTGAACTTGGGCGCCACACCCACCATTCGCTCGCGAAGGTTGTCCACGGCTTCAGCAATGGCGGCGTTCTTCATCACCAGCTGTTGATACTCGCTCTCCAGCCCGCGGATCTTGCCGGCCTTGGCCAGCTGCGCCTCGGCCCGCGCCCGGTTCACCTTCTCGTCCTCCTCCTCCACTCGCTTCAGTGCCGCCGTCATGGCATCAATCAACGCCTCTTTCTGCTCCACCGCCGCCTTCCACTCGCCCACCGCGTGCTCTTTGCCCAGCTCGGCGTTCATCAGCCGCGCCCCGGCAATCTCCAGCACCGCCGCCGCGTTTCCCACGGCCGGCCCGACCTCCTCGGCCGTCGCCGGCTCCGGCACCGAGTACCGCGACAAGTCCAGCCGCGGCTCAAGCGCCACCGCACCTCCGCCGCCGTTCTCCATGCATGCTGGCAGTGGAGGCAGTGCTGCCGCGTACGCCTGTGCATCATACGGCACCGCCGCATACTCGGCTGCCAGCTCGGCATCCACCACCCCCGCCCCGGCCTCCAGCTCAGTGTCCACATACGGCAGCGAAAACTCTTCTGCAGCCATACTTCCCACCTGGTTCCACGCACAAGTCACTTGCCCGGACCACCGAGTCAAGTATACTCCCCATAACCCTCGTGTCCGCCCATCCCAGTCCCCATCGCCACCGCCCACCTGACAAGCCGCCTCCCCCTTGCCCCGCCCCAGCTGCTGACAATCTTATCAAGCCACACTTGTCGTTTGCCAACGATGAACTTTGTCTACTTTGCGCTGCTCGTTGCGGTTGTCCTTGCCTTCGCACAGCCTGCTGACGCCTGGGACGCCGGTGACACCATCTGCCTCATCCTTGGCCTGGTATGTCATCGCTTCTTTTCCTGCTGTCCCTGCCTGCCTTCTCCCCTTGCCTGTACCCTTCGCCCGTGTGACTCTTGTCACCTGCCCATCCCTGCCGTCCCGCCACCACCACCATGCTCCACCCTGTGCACTTCCCCGACAACCGGACAAGCCCCTCCGTACACCCCATGCCACCCCCATAGCCACTGCAACACCATCCAATCTCCTCCACACCCTCTCCCATCCACACCCTCCCCACACATACACGCGCCGTTCACTCCCTGCTTCCGGCCGCCGCACTTCGATTTTTCGTCACGTGCGACCGCTGGCCCACACACCGCATCCTCCTGCTGCGCACGCACACACACACACACACGCGCGCGCATATCCATCACCCTCTACCGCGCAATTCCTACCCCTACTCACTCGGATGTGTCCTGCGATGTCAAATCTTCCGCTCTCTCTCTCTGTATCTTTAGATCTTCGGCTTCCTCGCCATCTGCGCCGGCCTGGGTACGTCTGCCGCGATCTCTCTCTCTCTCTCTTTCTCTCTCTCTCCCTCTCTCCCCCCTCCTTCCCTCTACACACACTCTATCTCTACTCATCAATCTCTACCCACTGCTGTCTCCATCGTGCAGGCTACTACGCTCGTTCGCGCGCTTAACCCTTTACGGTACGGAATGGACAAATTTGTTCATCGCACAAGCCGCGCTCCGCGACGCTCCACAGACGTCGCAACGTCCATCAATCGCGGTAAAAGAGTAGTACAATGTGTTAATGGCTGTTGTGGCCACTGGTGGGCTGCAACAGAGAACAGTCGGCGATGCAGAGATGGACGCCGCACGCGGCGCAAAACTCCGCGGCCGCGATCGCTTACCGTGAAGCTTCCGGCAGGCGAGGCAGTCGCATCGCAGAGCGGCTTGTTGTGGAAGGTGGTGATGATGAGCAGCCGCTGCAGAGGGACGCTTCCGCTTGCGCGACAGCGCGGAGCTGGCGCCGTCGGTGCTGGAGCGAGGGCGTCGATGATGTCGTAGAGAAAAGCCACGCGAGTCATGGCAGGGCGTGAGCTCGCGTCAGCGTAGAGCGCGTACGCGTTGATGAGCGCGACATCCAGCATCCAGTACAAGATGGCGTGCCACCACTTGCGCAGCCACGCCGACCGGAAAGCTCGTCCTTCGCAAGACGTCCTCGCACTCTCCCGCCCGGCCGCTGTGGTCAACTCTGTCATGCTCTCCTTCCCGGTCGTCCGGGTCGTCAACAACAAGCTCCGCACCGTCCGCGCCCACCGTTCCTCCGGATCGGCACCGTACGGCACCTCGTGCCCCTCGCCCATGCTTCCATGCGTCCGTCACCGCCGTCACGTGCGGGCACGCCTCTCATCTCAAGCCGCAGGCCAAGCAGGCGTCGCGCAGCGTCGGTCGGTGACCTGGAAGTCGGGCATCATCGAGTTGTTCACTTTGAGACGCGCGACAACGCGTCCGAACGACCGCACCGCTAAGGGTTAACCCGTAGACACCATCTGCCCCCCCCCCCCCCTCCCCTCACCGCCGACTGCTATCATCACTCTCCCTCCTCTACTCCACTGACTCCCCTGCCAGCCTGTGGCTGACATACCCTTCCATTTCCAGCCCAACTAGCCCGCCTGCACACACCTGCCTCCACTGCTCTCTGTCCACAAGGCAATGAACCCAGCGACGCTCGCGCGGATCTTTGCGGCCAACATGCGCGGTACGACTCGCCTTTCCCACACAGCGAACCGGAGCACGATCTTCCTCTCCCCTTCCGCTTACTCACCACTGCTACTGATGCCAGTCGTCGGGCCGATGGCCCGCTTCGTCCCGCTCGCTACAGTATCGCCATCCGGCGAGCCGCGGGTCCGCACCATGTCGTTCCGCGGTTCGGCAAGGGACATCCTCGGCGCCGATGCCGCTGATAACTTTGCTGACGCGCTCTGCTTCACTACCGACGCGCGATCGGAGAAGGCTCTCGACGCGCCGGGTGGCTCACCGGCCGCCGCCGAGCTGGCCTGGTACTTTGCCGCCACCCGCGACCAGGTCCGCGTCCGCGGCGACATGCTCATCGGAACAGCTTGCGCAAGCTCAGGAGATCCTGCCACCGCTGACATACTCGCTGCCCTCCGCAATGCGCTCTGGCGGAAGGCAAGTCGTGCTAGTGCTTCGTCGTTCTCAGCCTTCAACACCGCGTACTCGGCCGCAGACGACCTGCCCGATGCCGTTCACGATCACGACGGCCTCGGACTCTTTGTGCACCCCGACCACATGCACACGCCCATCATCATTGCTGAGACTGCCGGGGAGCCCGAGGCGCTAGCTGATCTAGCTGCGCAGATCGAAGCTGTCGACGGAGGCCGCCGCCTCGTCTCGATCGGCTCCGCTCCTCCACCTCAAGCTACTGACCAAGCCGTTGTCATCAGCACCCCGGCGGCAGTCACTCGCCTCGAGGCCGCGCTCGACACGGCACGTACCTGTTCAGCTTCGCTACTGCCCTTTCACAACTTTGCCGTGATCGTCATCGTCCCAGCCCGCCTCGAGTGGTTGCGGCTGCTACCTGCCACCGCCTGGCAACGGCTCATGACCGCCATCGAAGCCGCACCGTGCCAGATCGCCGACCTTGCCGCCGCCCACTCGTTCATTACTGCCCACGACAACGCGGCAGAGTATGCGCCGTCCCAGATCGAGGTTTGGCCGTCATCCTGAGCCACCAAACGGAGCCCTTCGACGAACGACCCGCACGCACCAAAACCAAGTCACCTCTGCCTTCTCCACACCCTCCCCCCACTTCCCACTTCCCCTCACAAACAACTCGCTGCAACCATGCACGTCTGGCTCCGCGACGAGATCAAGGATGGTGAACGCCGTGCTTTCCTCACGCCCGAGACGGCTGCGAGCCTTGTGGCTGCGGGCGTGTCGGTGACCGTCGAGTCGTCGACGACCCGTGCCTTTGCCGATGACGAGTATGCGGCTGTCGGTGCTCAGCTGGTGCCTGCAGGCACATGGGTTGATGCTGACGATACTGCTGTGGTGTGTGCTCTCAAGGAGCTTCCGGAGGATGGCTCGGACCTGCGCCACACCCATGTCATGTTTGGCCACGCCTACAAGGGCCAGGCCGGCTGGGCTGACTTTCTCACCCGCTTCGGCCCGCTGCACGCCGAGACCGATAAGCTCCTGGCTTCCGCGCCCGAGCCTGGCGCACGCGCTCGCCTCCTTGATCTGGAGTATGTTGTTCATCCTGACTCTGGCCGCCGCGTCGCTGCCTTTGGCTTTATGGCTGGCTTTGCTGGTGCCGGCCTCGCCATCCTCGGCTGGGCCGCCAAGGCGACCGGCGCTGTCCTCGGTCCGCAGGAGGCGTACTCATCCAAGGACGCACTGGTTGCTGCCGTGGCGGCTGCCGTGGCGGATGCCATTGCTGCTGGTGCTGCGCCGCCCAAGATCATGGTCATGGGCGCACTCGGCCGCGCCGGCTCAGGCGCCGTGGCGCTCTGCGAGGCCGCTGGCATCACCGGCGACGACCTCCTCAAGTGGGACATGGCCGAGACGGCCGGCGGCGGCCCGTTTGACGCCATCGTCGATGTCGACGTCTTTGTCAACTGCATCTACCTTTCCAAGCCCATCCCGCCGTTTGTCACCCTCGACATGATCGAGTCTGCAGCCGCCCCGCGCCTCTCGGTGGTGTGCGACGTGTCGTGCGACACAACGAACCCGCACAACCCGATTCCGTTTGCCAACGTCAACACCACCTTTGACGCACCCATGACCCACGTTGGGAGCGAGGCTCGCGGTGTTGACATTGTCACCATCGACAATCTGCCGTCTCTCCTCCCTCGCGAGGCCTCGTCCGAGTTCAGTGACGCCATGCTGCCGTTTATGGTCGCCTGGGCCGCCGCCGCCGAAGCCGGCGCCCAGCTGCCGCCCGAGTGGGCCGCCTCGGCCGGCCAGTACGTCAAGCACCGCGCGCTGGCCGACATCGCCACCGCGGGCGAGAGCGCGGCGTAGCACGCCCACGCCCACCCCGCACTAAAACTTGGCCATCGCCGCCTCAAACGCCACCCGGTCAATGTCGCCGGCCTTGAACCGCTTCAGCAGCCGGGCTTGCTCGTTAAGCGAGGTCCAGTCCACCGCCGCCTTGTCCGTCGACTCGCCGTGCCGCTTGCGCTTGCGTGTCGCCTTGGCCTCCTTCTTGGCCTTGTTTTTGGACCAGGGCACATTGGCCACCCGCCGTGCTCGTGCCGCCTTCCGCTTGGCCTTCCGTGCCTCCAGCTTGGCCTGTTCCTTCTCACGCCGAGCAAGCCGCGCCACCTCCCGCTTGCGATTCGCGTACGCCACGTCTTCGGGGGCAATGTCGCCGATCGGGCTGTATCCGCAGGGAAGCGTAAAGTTGCGCGTTTCCAGCGAGCGGAGTTCGGGCATTGACGGCAGATGGACAAGGCCCATCGACGCCGCAAGCTGGAGCATGTCGAGCTTTTTGGCGTCAAAATAGAAGTTGAACACGTGCGCGTTGTACCCGCGCACAAATGAAACATAAGCCTTGCGCGACGCCTCGTACACCGCCCTATCGGCACGTCCGGCCTCCTGCAGCACCTTCCATGCCGGCGGATTCGCCTCCTGCACATCGCTGGCCACATTCGCCGCCAGCTCAGGCCGTGCAGTCGCAAACTCGACAAGCGGTGAGCCGCGCATTTGCACAAACTCGGCGTATCCACGCTCGGCCTCGCGCAGTAGCAGCAGCGCCGAGCCAGAGCGCCCAAGCCGCGCTGTCCGCCCCACCCGGTGGACAAAGACGTCGGCGTCCTTGGGCGGATCGTACTGCACAATCCACGAGACGTCCGGAATGTCGAGTCCGCGTGCAGCAATGTCGGTCGCAAACAAAACACCGGCGTCAGCCTTGCGGAACGCCTGCATCGTTGCCGACCGCCGCTTCTGGACCAGCTTGCCCGAAAGCGCAAAGAGCGGGAGGCTGCCGGAAGCAGAACGGCTGTACAGCGCTGGCGCGGCAGCGACAAGCACCTCTGAGAAGTACTCGACCTGGGCGCAGGTGAGAAAGTAGACAATGATCTTGTGGTGCTCCTCCGTCTCTGCTGCCAGCCGCTGCAGCAGCGCAAGCAGCAGCGCAGTTTTGGAGTACGAGTCCGGCACAACCGCAAACATGTTCGAGAGCGTGGTCGGCGTCGACTGCGAGCTCTCGCCCGACGCACTGGCCCTGGACCTCACCGCCACATTGACCGCCACCGGATTACGAAGCCCGGCCGCGGTCAGATCCTTGAGCGCCGACGTCTGCGTCGCCGAGAAGAGGCCTGTCCGCCGCTGGCGCGGCAGCTTGCCGATGATGGCCACCAGCGTCGCCTCAAAGCCCAGGTCCAGCAGCATGTCGGCCTCGTCGAGAACGAGGACCTCCAGGCCGCGGAACGACAGCCCGCCGCCGCCCTGCTCCATCACATCGAGCATCCGCCCGGGCGTGGCAACAATGACATTGGCCCCCTCGGCCTCGAGTCGAGTCAGATCATTGGCCACAGGCGTCCCGCCGCAGAGTAGGTCCATCTTCATCTCCAGTGCGGCGACAAACGGCACGGCCACCCTGTGGATCTGCTTGGCCAGCTCGCGCGTTGGTGCCAGAATAACCACTCCCACATGATGATCGAGCAGCGAGCTCGCTTCCCTCGCCAGCAGCGTCAGCGCAGGGAGCACAAAGGCCAGCGTCTTGCCCGAGCCAGTCTGTGCCTGAACCACCACATCCTTGTTGGACAGCAGCAGTGGAATAGTCGCCGCCTGCACAGGCGTCATTGTCGGGAACTTGATCTCAGTTCGAAGCGTCTCCATACTGCGGAGGGTGAATGGAGGGTGAATGGAGGAGGGGGGGAGACCGTGAGTGTATGGAGAGGGTGGAGGTGGAGGGATGGATTGAATGCGGCCAGGATCATCCTTGGTCCACCCCACACCAATGCGCCACCCACGCCCACTACGTCCTCCATCCACCGGTACTCACACAAACGCACACACACACACACACACACACACATATACACACACACGCACAAACAAGCATCGACACGGGACTGACGCGGTTAGAGGAGGGGAGGACGGGAGCGTACATGCGTGGATCAAGTCCTGGGGAAAGCTCTTCCCATCGCCCGGCATTCGCCTCGGCCAGAAACGTGGTCATGATGGGGGAGCGGGAGAGAGAGCAGTGTCGCACTCGCTGCTAGGAGAGAGATAGAAGCCGAGATCGTGTACCCAGCTGTGGTCATGGAGCGACAATGGATGCGTTGCGGAGGCTGACTCTCGGCAAGGAGACCTGCATCACCCTCATCAAGGCCAAGTTTGCCTTTATCAAGGCCACGCCAGGTCGAACTGCCGGGCATAGCACCCCCCACCCCCCAGCCCCAGCCCCGACACCCACCCCACCCCACCCCACCTCCCGCAAGCAACAGACACACCGCTCTCTGACGCCCTCCCCTCGAACTGAACGAGTATGAGCAGCAGCAGGAGCGAGGCTGCTGGAAACGGGTCGAGGCTGGGCTTGACGCGGTCGGTCATGGCCGAGTCGGTCGGCGCCTTGCCGACCTTCCGCGGCGAGGCCGGGAGCGCGGCGGCAGGCGGCGGGCGCGGTGGCGGGAAGGAGAAGATGGGCGAACGCGGGCGGCGACAGACGTATCCGACAGACGTCGAGCTGACTGCGTCCGAGTTTGAGATTCCAGGCGTGCTGGCGGCGGCCGACGAGGAGCTGCCGTCGGCGCCGAGCGAGCCGCGACGGGTCTTTGGCGCAGGCATCACGCTCGACGAGCTCAAGGCTGAGGAGAGCGTCCGTGGCGGCGCGGGTGGCGGGCGGATGGACGGGCCCGGGCTGGCGCAGGTCGGCGACGACGGGGGTAAGCCCGAGATCAACTTTGCCGACGTCGTCGACGTTGATCCGTCCGAGGCCTGGGACTCGTATGTCTCGCAGGACCTGGTGGGCGTGCTCGTCGAGTCGGTGGCCTTCCGGCTCGGCATTCTGTTTATCATTGTCCTCAATTCCATTCTCATTGGCGTGCAAACCGACCGCGCCATCCAGTCACGGATGGACGGCTTGCTCTCGGCGTTCGACACGGTCTTTCTCATCATCTTTGTGGTGGAGATCGGGCTCAAGTGGTACTACGGGTTCATGCGGTTCTGGCTTCAGGGCTGGAACATCTTTGACCTCATCATTGTCGCGGCCTCGCTTCTTGGCCCGTCGCTCTCGTTCCTCTCGTCCGGGCGCGTGCTCCGGATCCTCCGCGTGGTGCGGGCGTTCCGGTCGCTGCGGTCGATTTCGGCGCTGCAGGGCCTGCAGATCATTGTGCAGACCATCCTGCAGTCGCTCCCGGACATGCTCAACATCTTGCTCCTGCTCATGATTGTGGCCTTTATCTTCGCCGTTGTGGGCGTGACGGTCTTTGGCGACGCCACCCCGCAGCACTTTGGCTCACTCGATCAGGCGCTGTTCTCGCTCTTCATCATTGTGACCCAGGACGGATGGGTGAGCATGTTCTCTGATTTGGAGGACAAGGGCATGTTTGTGCCTGCTGCCCTCTACTTTGCCTCGTTTATCATCCTCGGTGCGTTTGTCCTCTCCAACGTCTTTGTCGGCGTCGTCGTCACCAACCTCTCTGTCTCGTACAACGAGCTGAAGCGGACAAAGCGGGCGCAGCGACGGAGCCTCATCACGCCGGCGACGGCCGCGATCATGGGCGGGGCGGCCGGCGCTGCCGCCGCTGCCGCCGGCAGCACCGCCAGGCCGAGCTCCGGCAAGCGCGAGAAGAACATGCCGCTGCTGCCGCTAGTGCCCACGCCCGACGTCCCCATCTCCACATGGCGGGCACAGATGCCGCTCGAGACGCCGGACTCGCTGCGGTCGCTCCCAATCTCGACGCTTGAGAACTATCTCGTCCTTGTTGCTGCGCTGGAGCAGAACATGAGCGAGTACGTCGAGATTCGGTCGCGGCTCCACGCCGCCGCCGAGGTGGTGGCGGGCGTCAACGAGCTCCACCGGCCAGACGGCGGCGACGACGATGACGAATACGAGTCGGACGACGATGACACAGTGACCGGCTCGGCAGCGACCAGCATGGCTGGCGCTGGTCTCGGCTCGCCTGTCCCCACCGAGACCGACCGCTCAGAGGAGCCACTGGAAGCCGTGGTGCCGCAGCGCGACGTGCTCTCGCGCCAGATCCGGGAGCAGCAGCACGCTGGCGAGCTCCGGCGCCGGCGCCCGTGATGCACTCTTCTCTGCCCTGCTCTCGTTTGCTGCACGGTTTTATTGCATCTCACCAGCCAAGGAAGAACCGGCGTGACGAGGCAAACGAGGTCTTGAAAAAGTACATCTGCGTGCAGGTCGAGGCAAACATGACAAGGATCTGGACAACAGACCAGAAGAGCGACTGCGAGTGGGTCGACGCTGTCGTCTCACGGAACCGCTGCTCGCGCTTGCGAAAATACGCCTGCGAGTCGGCAATGTCGCGCATCATGGCACGGAGCTTGTAGACCGAGCCCTCGAGCTCGGAAAAGTGCTCGGCGCGCGCAATCTCCTTAAAGTCCATGGCCATCTCGCCGACATCAAGCGAAAAGTCGACAAGGACCTTGCGGGCACCTGAGAACCACGAGCCGGTCGTCGTGGGGCGGACGCATATTGTGTGGACGCCATCGGCGTGCGAGGTAAAGGCAAACCGATGCGACTCGTCGCCCTTTTGCGCAAACAGAATGCGACCCGAGGGATCGCGAACAGAAACAGTGATGGCGAGCTCCATGCCTGTCACTCCCGGCGGCGGCTGGCGGCCATACTTGGCCACGTCATCGTAGTTTGCCCGCGCATCATCCAGGTTGCGCACATTGTAGTGTCCCACCACAAGCGTGTCCTTCTCCACCTACGCCTCCTCCGCCGCCAGCCAGCCACAGCCACAGCCACAGCCACAGCCACAGCCACACGTATAAACATACACACATACATACACACATACATACACATACCATGCATTCCATGAGTACACCCTCTGCTCATACTGCCGCTTCCTGCCTCGCCAATACTCTCCACACCCCTTCCCCTCCCTCCCCTCACACCCTCCCCGCCCCCAGAGCCCCCCCTCCCCCTCCCCCTCCCCCTCCCCCCCGTCCACGTACCTCCTCCTGGAAGCACTTTTCAGTGTTGCCAAGCACAAAGTACATGCCATGGCAGCTGCTGATGCACACTGCAGCCACGACAAGAGCCACTACTGCCACCCTCATCATGGTCGGTGTCGGTGTTGGTCAACAGAGTCGAGTCTGCTCACTGCCGCCACCCCCCCACACATACACGCACAAGCACACACATACACCCACACATACACACACGCATACACACACACACACACACACACACACACACACACACACACACACATATATATATATATATACTACCACT